AAAAGATTATAGATTAAAAAATAATGTTTTGTGCCTCTGTGTTTTACAAACGTTTACTGATGAAAGATTTTGCCCAATTTTCTTGATTTCAAATGCGATTAAATTACAAATAAATAAATAACTAAATAATAAATAAAGTAATAATAAAAAATTTTTTAACATGTTTTTGTTATTCATGTTTAATAACAGTTTACAAACATGAATGCTACGAAAGGACTCAAAAAGTATGTTCTCAATATCTGATGATTTTTAATTTCTTGTACGAAGTAAAGGAAGTATTGTAATCCCGAAAAGTTTCAGGTATCATATTTCAATGAAAATATTCATTTCAATTGCTCTGGAAACCATCTGAACGTTGTTTTTGGGTGACATCCGTATGTACGAACAGAATAAAGCATTATTTTTGCCAAAAAGATTTGTAGAATGGATTTAAAATGGATTCAAAAGAGATTTTCCGTGACGTCTGTACGTACGTACACACGTATGTATGTATCTTGCATTAACTCAAGAACGAGTAGCCGTAGAACGTTGAAATGTTGTATAGGGGACTTCTATAACATGAAGTTGTGCACCTCCCTTTTCCGTTGTAATTGGCTGCACCAATCATATATATATATATATACCTGGCTCCGTGAACTCAGTTTTTTTATTCTTATATGTTGGTAAATTGTGCATTTTTTTGCTTTAAAAATGAATGACTTACGTTGTTCTTATATTACGGTTAATGTTTTCATGCCTTTAGTTAATATATATGCAACGGTTGTAGAATTAACAACAGTTTAAAAGTTTAAATGGAGAGTTAAGCCTAACGAAACGCCATTTGTTTACAGTTGAAATCCAGTAGAATAGTGAATTAAATCAGTTTTTGCACCTTCAGTGTCTTTTTGTCGAGTGGGACCAAAAGTAAACTTTCAGTTTTTTGCACCAAAACATCTGGATTCTTATTGATCTAATTGCTTGTTTTGGTGTAGAAAGTCTAATTTTAATTGTAAGAATTGTTTTTTTTAACTGTTTTAACTGTATCTGGTGTTTCATGTTTTTCTACATTTAAAAATTTTTTAATGGACATGTTTCAAGTTTTTATGTCTTTTTGCCTTTCCATGAAGTGAGAACTGAACTAGTTGAACGAGAAATATATCTCTAATGAAATTTGAGGAAATAAGTTTAAATGAAATGGAAAAAATATGTATAATTTAATAGGCAGTACAAGGAAGTCATGTTATGCCCTCATCAGATTTTTTTACTTTATATTTTCTTTTAAAAAGTTACCATGTTGTTTAAGGTAGATCATTTTTTTAAAAAACTTAGAAAGATGTAACTTTCACGTACAAATTTAGTATACATTTCATTTATACTTGAAACCAGACAGAAAAGAATATAGGAATAAATAAGATACCACTTATCTCAAAATAACAGAAAGGCTGATTAAATATCCTAAAAACAATCGATATTTTTTATATATCTTTCAGAGGCCCAGTTGATAAAATCTGTAAATGCTGTTAAAATTTCTAGTCCAGTGTAAATATATGTAATGATAAATATTATCTTATCAGTTTCTCATGCGTCAATTGTTATCGAAAATATTTCTTAGAAAGAGCAAATTCGTAGAAAAAAATATTTTTTACTTTCGTTTAAGAAAATTGTAACACATTTTTTCAGAACAAAATGAAAGAAAGCTAAAATTCGTAAAAAAAAAAAACTACTTTAAATTAGAATTATAATTTAAAGCTGCGTTCACAAGTAAAAAAGGAAAAGCTGATTTTGAGTTAACATTTGAATCTAGTACATCTTTTGTGCAAAGAATACTGCTTTACCACTGAGGTATTGAGACCTCGAGTAAATCCTATTACACCCAGAGATTTTCCCCTTAATCTTGGTCAATTGCTTATTGCAAAATATAGTTACGAAATGTACAGGAGCGGTAAGATGGCTTCCCCGCAAAGCAGTTTTAGGGTTGCCATAAAATGGCAAGGGAAAACAAAGTTGCAGTATTTGGCGATAAATCGCCCCATTTGGCGACAAAATTTGAGATATACCATGGACGGATGGAGAATCTTCTGGAAAGAATTCTTACCGGTTTAGCCTAGAATGTTCTCGAACACAAGCCGAAAGCTATATAAACCCTGCTGGTCCGCAGTCAGTTAGTATCGAGTGTGTGTGTGTGACTCGTCTAGAGTGCGAGTTAGTATCGAGTTGGTGTCTCGTCTAGCGAGTCAATCGAGTTGACAGCCGGGCAGCGAGTGCCGAGTGGGTCGTCGAGTGCACCGAAGGAGTCTGTTTGTGTATCGCAGTTAGTGCATCGTCGAGAGAGCGTGTTGAGCTCCAGGAACGAATGAACCGAAGAGTCGGGAGCTGTGCTCGTGTGTCGTCGAGTGCATCGCGAGTTGTAGCAAGGAGAGTCTCGAGAGTACGTGGAATTCCGAAAACGACCAAGCAGAGTCGGTAGCTGTACTCCGGAAACAGAGTCGGGTGCTTTGCAGGAAGCTGTCTCCACCGTGATAGCCTGATAACCTGAAGGCTGTGTCGCTGATCGTGTCAGCGTGTTTATAGTAGTTCATCGACGACTGTAAAACGTGTTTTTGGAGCTGTCCTGACAATATTGGCCAATAAAGTGTGTTTCGATACTTCATCAAGTGTCGTCGTTATTCACTCCAAATCCACACAAACTCCGTACGAACGTGAAGGAAGAAAATAACGTAACAACTGGTGTCAGAAAAGAAAAGAAAAAACGCAACAATATGCTAAAGAGTGCGCATTTCAGTCCGAGTACTTTCCTGGAGGATTTTTCTAAAGAAACTATTTAGAATATGACATTACGCATAGAGAAAATTGCAAAAACCTCATGCAACCAACCTGGCACGAACTTATTAGGGTTTAACGGTTTTTAACTCCTCGACTATTTGTAAGTTTGATTACATCTTAAGGTAATGATTCACTGAGTAATTGTGCGTTCTATAAATAATTCTTTTGGAATGAGATATACACCACCTAGGACCATTGCTGCTTTTTGCTACTTGACGCAATCTTTGCTGTTAAATTCTCCGCATGGTGCCTTTAAAATTTTGTCACTTTAAATTCTGCCCCCAAATACGATCACAACGACTGAAACGACTCTGACGCCGGCTCTAGTACCATTCGCGGCAGCGTCGGCAGAGAAGCCCTCTACTCTTGCATAGGTACTATCAAAGTCCTCTGCCACTGTTAAAACGTAAAATTCAGTAGCAGGGAGTTAGCTGCCAGATGTGGACAGATCATTACAGATTAGCAGAATTTGTTATTTTTTTCATGATACACCATTACACATGCAAAAACTGCTAACATTTCCTTTTTTCACATTGACTGAGTTATTTTTAGCCCAAAGGAGCAATTTGCCATGAAGGACTATTAATTTCGTTTTAGCATTTTGCGTTGAAAACCAGAAACGGCGAATCACTTTTCAGATTGTTGCCACCAAATATTAGAGACGTGTATTATATTTAAAGCAATTAAATAATGAAGAATCTTCATGAATGTATGTATGTTTCTCGCACTGTGATAAAACGGCGGTACCTAGAAACATCAAAACTTGAATAACGTAATGTTCCATAGAATATGGGCATGTGGAAGCCCTAATTTGAAATTTTAAATTTGTTTTATTATCGATTTCATATTTTGTAACACTTCAGCGAAGTTTTGATTAACAAACTAAACGCTTTCAAAGCAAGCAATGGCAATACTGTGAGGAAAAAAAAATTAATCTCCAGCGCGCCAGGCTCTGTATCGGAAATTCTAAAGATATGCTCATTTTTTAAAATTAATTTGCGATATTGCTGTTGAACTGAATTTTATAGTTTGAGTACGTAGAACATAATATTTAATAAATAAAGGTAAAAACGTTAGAAAAACGCTTCTTTGGACGTAATTTAAAATCTGACACCTTTTTATATTTTACTTTTTTTGTCTAAATTAAGAAAAAAAAAAAAAAAAAAAACACACACACACACACACGAGGGGAAAGGAAAAGGATTTTTAAAGGAAGTTTTTAGAGACGCAGCTCTCATATTTACATCACATGTGAATGTAAATACAGACAACATTTCGAGGTCAGATCAGTTCACTCAAGAATACAATAAGCCGTAAAATGAGTAGATCTTGCATGCGATATTATATATTGATTTTACCCGTTTGAAGTACACACGAAGGAAATCTTTTCACTGCGCATGAATCTCATTCTACAGTTTTCATTGATCTAGCAGCTTAAATATACATACGATAGTTCCATAAAAGTGAATACTGGAGAGCATGTATGAAATGAATAGGTTTTATGGCAATTTCAACGATGAAACTGTTTAATTTGTAAATAAAACTATTAATAAGAAATATTAACGTTCCTTTCATAAATATTAGCTTTAACTGTATAATTCTGATTTACCTTGGAAATAAAAGTGGCAGAAACTATAACATCTTCTGTTCAGGAATTCTTGTTATTACAGCAAAATATGCTCAGTGCTCCTAAGATGATTGCATAAAATTCCGATTTTTTTACCTCTCCTATTATTTGTATCAAATTCTAGTTACAAAATAGCAGAGCAAATTAATATTTTAGCACAAATTCTGTTTTGATATTGAAGATCTTTCTTAACATCAGCTTTGCCCACTAATGAGATTTCTATGCTTATTGTTTTACTCTTGAACATGGTTACTGAAACGACATAGATGAATTGCTTCTAAGAAATTTGTCCTTCTTACAACATTAATATAAAAATTATCTAAGCATATTTACCATACAGGTGCAGGTAAAAGCGAGCGAGACATTCATTACAGAATCGAACAGGTATTGTCTCAGCGATGTAACCATGGAATAGGTCAGAACCTCTTCCATAGTGCTGCATGAATGTGTGTCTTCACTGGTGGTGTTTGTTTGGTGGTTATTGGTTGGCGGTTAGTGTTAACTGCTTAGGGTGACTATTTAGGATACATATAATCCACTGGGAGTGACCATACAAGAAATACATATTTACCATACAAGAAATCCAGCGCTAAGTAGGATTTAAGGATTTGCAGCCTACAACTGTCTTGTTTTATGCCTCCATTGGGATAGAAGTCAGCATGACCCAAGGGATTGATATCACCAATAGCTTCACCTACAGGAAGAGTTTTGCATTAGTTAATGAGGTTATTGTAGTAATGAAGTTTATTCTCTGAAAATAAACAAGATACTTATTATTATTACTTTATTAATTTCATAGAACCAGGTAAAAATATTGGCAAACATGCTAGCATGAGCGTTATAAATTGTGAAAGCTTATTTACTAGATTATTCTAAATAAAATGGTCGATGAAAGGTATGGAGAACTTTGCTCGCTGAAGGTCTACGGTTTATGCAAATTTTTGATGAAAGATTCGCGAAAATAAGGGTGATATAACAAATTTAGCTATCAGCAAATCGTAATAAAAAAGTAATTGATAGAAAGAGAAAAGACAATTCCCAAATGAACTATACGGCATTCATTTGCAAAATTTTGATTCCAATATAATGAAGCTGAAAAATGAGCCTTGTTGCTGCCGCGTTTCTTTAACAGTCCTACTATGTTAAGTTAATATGTTCTTTAACAGTCCTACTATGTTAACTTTTATTGACTTGAACCTATGCCAAATTATTTTTAAAGGCTCACAGAAGCTGAATATCTCATATTCAATTACTTCCTGCCGTTTGGCACTAACACATGAGGTAGAAAATTTTTGATTAATAAGTTCCGCCCGAATTCGCGGGTCGGAAGAAGGCAAAGCTAAAAAATACTCTTCTCTTTTCGCTTGACTAGACAAAAGCAAGCGATTTTCCTCAACGTTACGCTCTTGCTGATCAAAAGGGGATCTTACGCGACCTATCTACGAAATGATTGGAATAATGGGAGCTTCAAGAAATACTCAGAAGACGCATTCTCTGCTTTTGTTTGTTTTATTTATGCATGCATCTTTTAATGTTTTAGTTAACTTACTTCTGTAAGCCCCGTGTTGTACATCTGTATTGAACGGGGAGTCTATGTTTTCAAATAAAAAACAAAAATCACTAAAAGAACACATTCGAGCCATTTAGAAGGGTTAACCCATTAAGGCAAAGCACACGCGAGGGCTATCTAAAGAAAAGAAGCATTTGTGACGGTCATTTTAAAGGGAATGGCTTGCATTCATGTTACACATGACAGAAATCACGAAACTTCACGTAGCTAGCTCATTCGTTAAAATTCAAGTATTAATACTTATTTAACAATAGATAGTTCTGAGCCTAAAGAAGAAACTAAACAATTAGATATGGTATAATTTAAAAGCACGGATATTTTCTCACAGATTTATCCTTCCCAATACTAAAATTAAAAAATTTATATTTAGTAACATTTTTCTGGAATCTCCAGAAAAATTCCAGCACAATCCTTTAGATATGCTGAAAAAATTTTCAGTTTGTAGTAAATGTTAACAAATACAGCCAGGAATATAATTAATTGTATTACGTGTCAGATTATTTGAAGTTATGTATTTTTTAGCATCACATCAGACAGAAAACTAAAGGATGGCATCAGTCATCGAAGATAAACTTTTCTTGAAGATATGAATTAACCATTAAAATAAACAATATTAACCACAAAGCATATATATTATTGCTAATTATAAATTAAATTATTAAGCCCGTTTCCTTACCAACTTCTGTTCCAGCATTTGTATGGATGACATCCACGAGATTTGCATCTGTTGAATCTAGCCTTTCATCCTTAGATTTGTTTTGAAAAGGTGCCATTGCAGGATCTAGAGCTGTTTCGAAAATAAATTTATGAGAATTTAATTACAACCGCATTTTTGAAATTAAAACTTACTACGAGTAACTTTAGCGGCAACTTACTTCTGATTATAAAATGTGTGATTTCTTAGATTATTTTTCCTTCAAATTACTTTACAGACAATAAATAAAGTAACCAACAGAATGTGACAACTAGAATTATTTAAAATAAATTAAATGATAATTTAATTATGAGTTATTTATGATTAGCCGCTTCTTCATAAAAATTCAACCTTTTTGAACCACAAATACGCTGATTTTTTTTTTAGTCAGTGCTTTTTAGAACATAGACCTGACCAATTTTCTAACAGCACTCGATTCACTAACAGCACAAATAAGAAACTGGATAACTTCGGAAGTTTAGTGATCCTAAGCAATCTTCAAATAATGTAGGCTCAAAAGGGATGACAGTTGATATACAAAACAGAATCTTGATTATCAGACCTCTCCAGTAACTCTACTACCAAAAAAAAAGGGGACAAGGACCGTGATGTATTTTAGTCAAGATGCTATCAGGCCAATAGGTTACTACAAAAGAGTAAAAATGTTGCTAAAAATGTTCATCCTATGGACTGGATAAACATTTGTAGCCAATCAAGTGAGAACTCAGAGCAAATTATTCACGATTCTTGGGCACTTATCGTTGAGACAACAGAAAATTCAAAATATCAATAAAGCAGAAAACGGCACAAAGCAAAACAAAAACAATCAGACTTGATGAACTAATAATTAAGCCCTAAAACGTTTTTTTTTTTTTTTTTTTTTTTTTTTTTTTTTTTTTTTTTTTTTTTTATGACGGGCACTAGCCATTTTAGCCTTTGGCCAATACTAAAACCAGAAGCGATGGTAATTTTACTACAGAGGTACCTAACAGGCGGCCACCGTTACCTCTTACAAAGGAGCAGACAATTTTACATCCATGCATTCCCCGGGATTCGAACCAGAGCCATTCGGTACTGCAGAATCACTAACCACTTTCCCTTCTGGGCGGCAGCTCTAAAGCTAAGGACACAGCGTTCCAAGCTAAGGGAAAGTGTAGAAATGTATACCAGGAGCACTGAAACATTTTACATCATTGGCAACTGGAGTTGAAGATAATTCAATTCGAGGAACATAAAATTTTCATGCTTTGTCACACAAATGAGGATTTGGATCATCAGATTACAAACAATTGAAGAAGAAAAGCAAAATAACTAATTAGTCAGTGAAATTCCACTGAAAATATTTTTGACTTGCATGAAACACTTTATTAATATCATAAGTCATCATACATTCTAAAATCACGATGACAATAATGGCCGTGCAGAATAGCGTGAATGCGGAGTACAAGATATACACTGCTTTTTGAAAAGTACGAGGAGAAAGTAGACTTATATCTGGTCTTTCTTTCTTTCTTTTTCTTTTTTCCAGCAAATAAATAGGAAAATGTTTTGGAGATTTACAGCAATAAAAAAAATAACAGACATCATATGAGAGATGTCATCATATGACAGATGATTGATCATTAATTTATTATATGTTATTACATACACAGGGACACGAAAAAGGATTTATTTCAAAAATTGATTTAAAATGTACTGAGGTGTTAGCTCACGAATACTTGCGAAATTCCTATACCGGCAGTAGTAGAAATGTAAAGATAAATACTTTGTTTTTTTGTGACTGTTTATGCATAACATGAATAAAATATATATGTAATCAAAAATTTATGCATAAAATGCATAAAATCAACCGCAAAACATATTCTGCTACTGGAATAATTCTTCAGTCTTATTGCTGGCACTGTGCTTTCGTGCATTTGCACGAAATACCATATTAAGCATGTCATCCTCATCTATTTTTATCAAGAATACAGCATGAAATACATAACAGCGCGCAAAGTATCTGTTTAACATCTGGTTGTGTTTGCCGTTCTGTTTATGATTAAGCCGTTTGGTCAAAAGCTGGCTACAGTTAAGTTTTATGGTGCGGTAAAAATTATGTGCATTTTTGCAAATCTGCGAAATGCTGATGACCCTAATAACCAGCCATAATTCAAGCGTCCGCATATTTTGATGTTGCCTATTATTATTAAGCATATACGAATCACAATTAAACGAACATGCTTTCATATAAAGCAATCAGGTTTTGCTTTTTAAGTGGTTATTGCTTCAATTTTCAATTTTTATTTTTCACTGCGTTCATTATTCATTTGTTCAAATTTTAGATGCACTTCCTAGATTCGCTTATGAATACACATAGTTTTGTTTCAACCAGAAATCTAACGAGGATCTTTCTCTTTTATCAGAGGAATTTGAAAACTATAAGAATAGCTGAATACGTTTCTTGTTAATTCTTTCAATCTTTTAAATCCATTAAATGGTTTTCGACATTTTAAAAAAATATTTATCTTTGTAAAGTGGGACTGCAACAGTTATGTACAAGTTTAAACACAGGAAAATGTTTTCTTCAAAACTTTCATAATGGTTTTGCGAATATATTTACTCAAGGATCAGATTAAACATTTTGCTCGAGTTTTTTTAAGAGATACTATAAACTTGATATAACTATTTAATACGAGTTTTGATATTACCCTTGGAGTAATTGAGTACATTTAAAGTAATTCCTTCATCCTGTTATTTCTTTTAAGCTGAGTTTTGCAATAAACAAACATATTACACCTAACCCAGTCCAATATCTTTGAAATTTCTTACGTAATACAAGAGATTAGAAATTTTTTTCTTTCAAATATTAGTAATCGCTTATATCAAGATCTGTTCAATTCCCCAGGTGTTTATCTCAAGTGGATGTTTGTTCTGAACGAGAGCTTGAGAGGAAGCACATATGTTCCAGAACAGTGATAAAGGATAAATGGTAAATTAAAAACCGAGCTAATAATTAAAACTAAATTTAATAATAATACTAGCGGGCAAGCACACCAGATAACTGCTGCGACCAATGCAAAATTTATAAGTTTTACGCACACCTGAGAAGAAAGTGAATAAAAACATTTCAATATGAATGAAATCAGTTCATTCTTTCCAAGCAACAATCAATTCGTAAATAATGTTCTTGTTGCCAAACCAGGAAACAAAATCTTTAAACATTTCAAGTTAATAGGTATACGTATGACGTCATGATTCAAATTTAGTGTAATATAACAGCTTTTCCTCAATATCAATGAACGGATTAATGTGGCAATAACATACCGTGACGATTATCCTAACCTGAAACAAAAAAGTCGAAAACAACAGCTATTTATTTAAAATGATGACATTAACCAAAAATTTTCGACATGCAATGATAACACATGCAGTCGCGTAACCTCAGAATAAGACCTTATATAATAATAATAATATATTTAATGTTTGGCAATGCTATTTTATTTCATATTTTGTAAAACTTACAAATTTTTTATTAACAAACTCTACGATTTGAAAGCGACCAGTGGCAACACTTTTCGAAATAAAGCAGATTTTTATCTCCAGCGAAGGAGATTATTTCCACTTCAGTTCAAAAATTAGCATTTTCAGGTGTATTGGTGGTGTATTTAATTATGGCAAAGCACACTACGGCTATCTGCCTAAAGGGGAGGGATGCCTTCGTGGAGGATTTTCTAAGGGAAATTGGCTCGTATACACGTTACATATGGGGCAAACCACGAAAACACCCATGCAGCCAGCCTGTTCGCGGGATTTGAACCTCGGACCGAACTACCAGTGTTCAGCGACTTTACCGTTCGGCCGTTGGTGGACCAGCATTTTCAGAGTATTTAATTAATATCACATCTGATTAAAGTCGTATGAAGATGAATGAGAATGGTCGAAATGGCCTCCCACGAAGTTTTTTGGGTTATCTATCTCGAAACTCAAGTCCCGAAGAAGATGATGACACAAACAGAGGCGCACAAATTTTAATAGTATAGATTTCAGAATAACAGCCTGATACAATTATTTTTTGTATTCTAATCACTTTTCATTCTTTTTGAAAATGGTAAAGTAATCGCTTTAAAAATTACAATCATCAAACAATTTTTCGAAAAGTGTAAGATAATAGTAATACATTTCTTGATGATCCCAAAGGTCGACTGGGCTAAAAGATAACAATGCATTTAATTGCTAACAAATTAAAGCTGTAATATATAGATAGATTTATTATAACTAATTTTATAAGTATATTTCATAAAGTATATTTATTACGAATACATTTTACACTCACGTTTGTGAAAATTGCAACACCAAGAAGGAATCGTCCATAATTGAATGCAATTTAATACACAGTTGAGTGGTAGTGGTACAAATAAATGATTAAATGTTCAAAGCAAACAAACAAACAAGAGATCAGAATCAGTTTTGTGTGGCCACCACGCGCCGCAATAAGTGCTGCTACACGACGTGGCATGGAGTCAAACAAAGTTTGAATGTCTGACTGAGGAGAGCATTCCATATCGTTTGTACGCGTACCCAAAGTTCGTCTGCAACGCAACAGGACGAGGATCACGATCAAGACGCCGACCAATGACATCCCACACATGTTTCAATTGGCGACATATCCGGGAACACGCAGGCCAAGGAAGAAGCTGTACCTGCTGCGCTGCAAAGAAGGATTTAACAATCCGAGCAGTATGAGGGCGGGCATTGTCCTGTTGAAATACAGCGCCTGGCAAGCCTTTAAAGGAAGGGAACAGCTTCGGGCTGTAGAACTTCACGGATATACCGGTTGCTGTTCAAGATGCCCACAATTCGTAGCAATTGAGATCGCTATGATATGCTATGGCGCCCCAGACCATAACTCCGGGTATTCGTCACTGTGGCGTTCGATAATGCACTCCGGAAGGTGGCGTTCACCGCATAGCGTCTGACACAATGCGGCCATCATGGTACCACAAATTAAAGCGGGATTCGTCAGAAAACATGACATGCTGCCAATCAGCACGCCAGTCTCTATGCTGATTGGCCCATTGTAGCCGCAGGCGGGGATGGTCGTGCGTTAGGGG